TGGTTTAGCAGTGACTTCATCTCCTTGTTTAACTCTTCTTTGAGGAAAATCATCTCCTGTTCTCCAAGTCCCAACTCTGATGTCTCAGGAGTGACTGAGTTGGAGCCCAAAAGCCCAGAGAACCAAGACAGGGGCTGCTCCCGGGTCCACTGACTGCTGGTCTGGCTGCCCAGTGAGTCCCACAGCAGAGAATCCCTCTGGGAGCAGGGTTGATTCAGACCTTTCTGCAAAGAGAGAGGAAGGCTGAGCGGTGTCCAATCAAGGCCTAACCCTAGCCCACCCTATGCCAGCCTTAGCCGTGGCAACAGCTCTCACCCCTTTGTTCTCCAGTCGCAGAAGCCTCTTGAGGTTTTTCTCAAGCAGGAGTTTGTCCCTCACAGGTGGCAGTGAGCCTATGCGTCGGGCACCAGGGTCACTTTCCTGACTGTGGGAGCCCAGCCAGCCAGCCGTGATGCTGCTATGGGAATCCGACATGGAGCTGGAGCAGGATGGGTAATTGTTTGGGTGCCCAGCACACAGCGTGGGCCGAGTGCGGTGCCGATGCACAGTGTTGATGCTGGGTCTGGCTCGAGCCCTCAGCCTACCACTTGGCACCTCCACTGGGTCTTGAACATCCACCAGGGGTACTCCGGCGTCTGTCTTCATGGCAGCCAAACGCTCTGTTGCCTGCTCCACCACCGTCTGCAAGCTGTCCAGTACCTGACCCTCTGTCAGAAAATCCAGGAAGCTGCCAAACGCTTGAGGGCGCCGAGGGTTCTGCTGGTGGCCCTGGTGCTCTGAATACCGGTTCATTGATGGTAGGTGTGGCATACGTCCAAGCTTGCAGTTCGGCCTCCTTTCTGGCAACAGATGCTTCTTGGGTAGCTGCATCTGAACAGACAAGACTGTCATAGCAGGCAGGATGCTTTGCAAGGGGTGGGGACTATCTCTGGAGTCCTCCTAAGGTGCTATTAGGAGCTGGGATTGAACTATGGGAAAGACTTTCTCTCTCTCTCTCTCTCTCTCTCTCTCTCTCTTTATTATGCTGGGGATTGAACCCAGGGTCTCGAACATCCTCTGCAAATGTTCAACCACTGAAGTATATTTAAAAGATTTTAAACATTTCTTTACGGGCGTATCTATGCCTCAGTGCACATGTGGAGGTCAAAGGACAGCTGGCTGTAGTTGGTTCTCTCTTTCTACTATGTGACTCTTGAAGAAGGAACTCGGGTATTGACAGTGAGCGCCTTCACTCACTGAGCCATCTCACCAGCTCTGAATTATCGGCTCCCTTCAGGCTGTGTGACAGTGCTCAGAGCAGCTAGCTCCTTTTCCGGCCTTCTGCAGAGTAGGGTCTGCTAGGGTTGATGGAAGGTCCCCAATGTCTCTACTTTTGTATATGCTGGCCTAGCTGGGAGCCTGAAAGGGGAATTCTGTGTTCATGGTATGAAAGGGCAATTATGAGAGCCTTTCTCTCTCTCTCCCTCCTCCTGTCTCTAGCACGCCCTTGGCTGTTTTCACGTTGAGGACTTGAGCCTGCTTCTCCAGTTTGAGTGCCCAGGCTGACTCCAGCCCACCCACCTGGGGGCCGAGGACAGTGGGGCACGAAAGGGTGTCCCCCGGTAAGCGGTGGGAAGTGGTCCAGACACTAATGTTGGGTCAGCTGGACATACTGACCTGAGCCATGTAGGTGCTGTGACCTTCATCGTCAGCCAGATATCCTGAGTGGTGGCGGTACCTTGCCATGTGGATAATTAAATTTGTTTTCTGCTTCCTTTCTCAGGTTCCACAGCACAGATGCAGACTCCTCTGTAAAGGGCAGAAGAGGAAGTAAAGGTACAACCAGACCTCCACAGGTCCCTCACTCCCTGAACCACATCTGTGTCCTTCAGACATCCCACCCTTCCCCTGCTGGGGATCTGCTATGCATCTGCGGACATTCAAGTCGTTGCTGCTTCTTCTTCTTCTTCTTCTTCTTCTTCTTCTTCTTCTTCTTCTTCTTTTTGGTTTTTGAGACAGGGTTTCTCTGTAGTTTGGAGTCTGTTCTGGAACTAGCTTTTGTAGACCAGGCTGACCTCGAACTCACAGAGATCCTCCTGCCTCTGCCTCCCGAGTGCTGGGATTAAAGGCGTGCGCCACCACCCAAGTCGTTGCTTCTTTTTTGCAACAGTCTGGGACGGGGCGAGTGTACAAACTTCCTCAAGGCTCCCTGGAGCCCCCAGCAGCTCACCAGAGTCTCCTCTCGTGCTTCTCCGAGCTCGCTAGGTCAGCACCCGCTTAAAGACTACCGCACAGAGTCCTGGAATCCCGCCCCCGCAGCCGCACAGGTTGCTCATTTACATACTTCATTCTGATTGGCCAGAATCTAGCCTCTTGTTCATATATCCTACCCGACACAATGGTTAGGGGTGGGTGGGGTCCACATTGTCTCCTCCCCCACCAGGCTGGATTTTTCTGTCAAGCCCGCTAAGCCGTGCTTGGGAATGTTTAAAGATCTGACTTTATTTTGCCGAGAAGTCTGAATTTGGGCTTGTTTCTCTAACGCTCAGGGTAAAAGTCACAGCTTCCACTGATGACACAAACACCTTCCTCAGTTCACCCCTGGTCGCTGCACAGACTTGAACCTCCAACTCTGTTGGCTTCCTTCCAGGACTTCTTTCCCTTATCCAGTGTGGACTAGCCAGCATCTTCCTTCTCAACTCTTTCTTTTTGGAAGCAGTGAAGAGTCCTGATTTTCCACACAGACCTAACTTCAATTCCTGTCCCTGATTTTTTTGTTTTCCTGATGTGACTCAGCCTCTCAACACTGACTCCTTATCTGTAAATTAAGTGGAACATCCTCTTCCAAAAGTAAGTATTTCTATCTATCTATCTATCTATCTATCTATACACACACACATACATACATATATAAACACACACATATATAGCATTTTATATATATAGTTATATATAACTATGTAACTATATCTACATATTGGTTTTTTGAGACAGGGTTTCTCGAAATCACAGAGATTTTGCCTGCTTCTGCCTCCTGAGTGCTGGGATTAAAGGCATGCCATCATCACCTGGCTAAATAAATATTCTTTCAATACACATCGCACCTTATGGAAACTCTGTATAAACTCACCTCTACTTTGTTCTTTTCCTCTCATCCTAGAAGCTTGTCATTCCCAACAGACTGATAGCAAGTCCATCCTCCACGCCACACTGTTTCTGTCTTGTCTAACAGCTGGCACTTCTTCATCAGGAATCAGGGCAGTGAGCCTAATCTAATGACTCCATTTCCAACACAGTAGGAGCTTAGTAGTTTCCTCTTCTCCGTCTGTGTTTATCAGGGCTCAGGGCCATTCTGGTGGCAGCCTCCGAGGGGGGCACAGTGGCTGGATGACCCCTGATGGCTCAATAATCACTATGACTGGACATAGCAGTGTTTACCCCAGGCACTTTACTGAAGGGTTCTTTGAGGCTTCCAACCCTTACAAAGCATCATCAGTACTGTTGGGATTAAACTATACTTTCCCCTTTGCCTGTGATCCAGGGGGTCGAATAAGCTGGAGGGAACCAGAGCTGGTCAGGCTCCACCTGGAGGGGACAGTTCCTGTTCCACTTCTCTGGTGATTTTTTCAGCTTCCTTGGCTGTAAAACAAACAAAATTACCAGGATCACAGGCTTGACCCAGTAACACTCTTTTCTTTTTTTTATTTATTATGTATACAATATTCTGTCTGTGTGTATGCCTGAAGGCCAGAAGAGGGAGCCAGACCTCTTTACAGACCGTTGTGAGCCACCATGTGGCTTCTGGGAATTGAACTCAGGACCTTTGAAAGAGCAGGCAATGCTCTTAACCACTGAGCCATCTCTCCAGCCCCAGTAATACTCTTTCTACAAGAGAAACCAAGACAGGTTGGATACGCTCAGTTGGCAGAGTGCTTGCCTAACATGCTTGAAGTCTTCGGTTCAACTCCCTGCACCACATAAACCAGGTGTGATGGCACACACTAGTAGCCGGCACTGAAGAGGTGGAAGCACAAGGGTCAGAAGTTCAAGGCTAGCCTCGGCTGAATGAATAATGAGGCCAGCCTGGGATATATAAGTCTGTTTTTCAAAACAACATCGAGACTGGACAAAGAGCAAAAGTGAGGTGATGAATGTAAAAGTTGTCTGAAGCTCAAGGTGAAAATGGGCTAACGCTTTCTCCAGTGTGGCCATTGGTTTGCATGCTTGTGTTCTTGTTATGTACAACTTTTACAGTCAGGCAATGGTGGTACAGGCGGATCTCTGAGTTCAAGACCAGCCTGGTCAGAATGAGTTCCAGGACAGCCAGGCCCACACAGACACACAGAGAAACCTGTCTCAGGAAGAAAGAAAAGCCTCCCCTTAGAACCAGTGAGGAAGAGATTATTTGAAAAAAAAAAAAAGTTAAAAAAAGTAAGAACTCCTAATAAGAAAAGGCTCATAGGCACTGCGTAAAACAAAGTGAAGCAGCATCCCAAGAATGAAATAACCTTCCATCATCCCTGAGTGATGGAGAGGAGGAGGGCGTTTCTTTTCTTAGGGAAAGTAATGGAAGGACAGAACACTGCCCAGAAACTGAGCAATGGTGATGGTAAACACTGGGAAGAGCAAGGGGAATTTTTGAGTATTTCTCTTGTTTTCTTCATTTAAAAAAAAATACTTTTCAAAAAAATGTTTTTTTTGTTTTTTTGTTTTTTTTTTTTTTTGAGCGCTAGAGATAACTCATTGGTAAAGAGAGTTTACAGCTCTTGCAAAAGACTGGAGTCCTAGTATGTGTTCACATGTGGACCACAACGATCTGTTAACTACAGTTCCAGGGGATTTTATTCCCTTTCCTAGTCTCTGCCTGCCCAGGCATAAACGTAGAGAGAGCGTGCACGCGTGCACGCGTGCGCGTGCGCACACACACACACACACACACACAGAGAGAGAGAGAGAGAGAGAGAGAGAGAGAGAGAGAGAGAGAGAGAGAGAGAGAGAGAGAGAGTGGTTATAGACATAGGCCAAAAGAAGAAATTTGCAGAGCAGTTAACCCGGCCGTTTGCAAGACACTCAGAGACCTCTTGCTAGCAAAAACAATGGCGGCGTGCAGTCGCATTTAGTCGCGTGCGTCGGGGTGGGGCCTCGGCAGCGTTCAAGGGCGGGGTCTGGATGCTGCAATCCATTCTCTCTGGTCTCCAGCCAACGTTTGGCAGCTATGGCTTGGCCTCGTGTGCAGCTGGTTGTCACAGCTGATGACTTTGGTTACTGCCCGCGGCGCGATAAGGGCATCGTGGAGGCCTTCCTGGCAGGAACTGTGACCAGCGTGTCACTGCTGGCCAACGGCACAGCCGCAGAGAGCGCAGCCGAGCTGGCCCGCAGGTGAGGGAGGCCCCCTTAAGGAACGGGCAGGTTTGGGGGGCTGCTCGGTCTGTGGCAGGCAATGCTTGCTCTCGCGCTCCGCCCGCAGGCACAGCATTCCCACGGGCCTCCACGCCAACCTGACTGAGGGCCGTCCTGTGGGTCCCGCCCGCCACACCGCCTCGTCGCTCCTCAGCTCAGAAGGCTTCTTTCTCGGGAAGATGGGATTTCGGAAGGCCTTAGAGGCTGGAGACGTTGCTTTGCCTCAGGTGCGGAGGCGTGGCTGCAGACAGGCGGATACTGATCAAAATGCAGCCCAGAGGGTATCATGGAAGTCGTTGGGGCAAACGCGGGCGCTGGATAAACTGCTAGTTCAAACCCTGGAGCAGTCACACTGTGGCACCAGACGGAGCTCTTCGCTTTGTGGCTGCTTCCAGAAACTCAAGGTATCTGTGCCCCTCCAGGTGCGGGAGGAACTAGAAGCTCAACTCAACCGCTTCCGGGAGTTGTTGGGCAGGTCCCCCACGCATGTGGACGGGCACCAGCACGTGCACGTGCTCCCAGGTACGCGGATTGAAGCGTCCAGGTACGGGTAGGGGTGGGAGCTGCTTTCCAAGGTTGGTGGGAGGTCGATGCTGAGCCCACCCCTCCAAGCAGGTGTGTGTCAGGTGTTCGCCGAGGCCCTGCAGGCGTTCGGGGTGCGTTTCACGCGGCTGCCAGTGGAACGCGGCGTGGGTAGCTGCTCGTGGCTGGAAGCACCAGCGCGTGCCTTCGCCTGCGCTGTGGAGAACGATGCCCGGGCCGCCATGGGCCCCTTCTCCCGCCACGGCCTGCGGTGAGCACCGCCCTCCCTCACCCCATCCAACCCTGCCGGGTCCCCAAAGGTCCAAAGTTAGGAACTGATCTGCTGTCCTGCTTCACCCTCTGCCTAGCCCTGCTGGTCCTCAGGCAACACCTCTATCCTGGCACTCACAGGTGGACCGATGCCTTTGTGGGCCTGAGCACTTGTGGCCGGCACATGTCTGCTCACCGAGTCTTGGCGTCACTGGCGCGGGCCCTGGAAGATATCCCTGCTGGCCGTCCCCTGACTGCCGAACTGATGGCACACCCAGGATACCCCAGTGTGCCTCCAGCAGGGGGCTGCGGTGAGGGCCCCGATGCTTTCTCTTGTTCTTGGGAGCGGCTGCATGAGCTGCACGTCCTCACGGCACCAACCCTGCGGGCTCGGCTGGCCCAGAATGGTGTGCAGCTCTGCGCCATAGACGACCTGGATTCCAAAAGGCCGGGGGAAGGGGTTCCCTGTGAGGCATCTCTGGAGCCCTTCCTGAAGCCTTCCCCACCCTGACACCAAAGGCCAGCTACGAACTGCCTCTCACTGTGGAGGAAGGCCAGGGCTAAAGCCTGGAACCAGGTCTTATAGCAGGGTCTGGCTTACAGAGTGACAAGTCACTAAACCAGGTCCTTGCGACTGAGTAGTATTGGGCAGCCCTGCCTGCAGACAGGCAGGGCTAGTCAGAGACATCTGGACTTAGGGTCTGATGAGCATTTGGTGCCAATTCATGTGCAAATCACAACCACTTGTTTAGTGGAGCAGTGGAGAGATGTTGGTGTGTTAATAAAATAATGTCTTTCAGATTTGGCTGATTTATAAAGTGCCCAGGTATCCTTCGCAGAAATAATAGGCACAGAGAGGCTCAGACCAAGATATCAAAAATGGGCCTGGCCGTGGTGACGCACACCTTTAATTCCAGCACTTGGGAGGCAGAGGCAGGCAGATCTCTGTAAGTTCGAGGCCAGCCTGGTCTACAAAGCAAGTTCCAGGGCAGCCAGGACTGTTACACAAAGAAACCTTGTCTTGGAAACAAAAACAGAAACAAACAAAAATCTTCACTTTCTAATTTTGCTCATGCTTACAAGTTTTAATCCCTTAGATAAAAAATTACATGTGCTCGTTTGTGTTGAGGAAGTACATGCATGCATACCATGGTCTATATGTGTTTTGTTTTTGAAATGAGGGTCTTAACACATTGCTCAGCCTAGCCTTCTACTCCAGGGCTCAAGAGATCCTCCTCCATCACCTTCTACTAGCTGGGACTGCAAGCACACACCACTGTGCCCTAGCAAGGCTTCCATTTCTTTCTTTTTTCATGGGAGGGGAACAAAAGATCCTCATTAGGGTGTTTTGGGGAAGAATATGGTAACCGTAATTTTGATTTAAAAAGAGGTTGTCTGAGGGCTCAACACAAACAAGCACATGTAATCCCAGCATTGGGAAGTGGAGGCAGCAATATCAATTCAGTGTCATCCTTGGCGATATAATGAGTCTCAAGGCAGCCCAGTTGTTGGCCTAGCATTCATGTGTGAAACTATAGGCTCAATACCCAGTACCAAAAAACAAATCATGTGGTATTCCATCTGCCTTTCCATCTTCCAAAATGATGTAAGGCTGTGTTCCGCCACCTTCTCACCTACTCCTTGCCCGTAGAGCATCCATATATCAGATGTAGCTAGAATCCCAGTTTCTCACTTCTGCAAAAGACTGCCTCTCCTGAAAACATGTACACCCTCCTATACAAGCTTACAGAGCCTCTTTCAGTCTGTTCCCTGCAGTTACAACACAACACAGGTTAAAACTACTATGATAGGATCTGTGTGAATGTAGATGTGTGGCAGTTGGAGGAAGGACAACTTTTGGGAGTTGGGTCTTTTCAAACACAAGAACTTTTACACACTTCCCAACGCTGGGATTACGGAGTGCATCATCACTCCCAGTTTACATGGTTTTTAGGAGTAAGCCCAGAGTTTCATGCATGCTGTCTAAGATTTCTGTCAACTTTTCTGTGCCCCACCACAAACTTACAAGTAGGGGTTGTAGCGCAAGGCTTTAAACTTACCTGACATAGCCTACATCCATCCTGGAATGGGGGTGGGGAAAGGCCAGGGAAACAAGCTCTGACCTGGCCTGATAAGGCGTGGCTTCTTGAAGGGATCTTCTCCTCCTCCCCTTGATTGGCTTCAGTCTATAATAACCTTCCTCAACCTTGACTTGGGCAAGTTCCACACCCTGTAGTCCAGAATTTTGAGTTTGATCCCCCTGCTGTGTTCCATTAATCTCCTCACCTTGGCTCCTGTGGTGTAGGAACATTCTGCTGGCTGCCAGCTGGAGGCCCAGTGCAAGACTTCCAGGAGTCTGACTGACACCAGAATGCTCAGGAGAGAAGGCTCTGCTGAGTTCTGCTCTGCTGGGATAGTCCCCAGCCTACAGATGGCAAATCACTATGATCTGGGCCACACTGGAGAAGAGGAAGGTTCTCTAGAGCTAGTTTCCTTTTCTGGACCTTAAGCATGACGCTGGGTAAGTGGTCTGTACTGTCTGGTTTCCCAGGACTGCTGTCTTGAGTCATCCAGGAAATGACCTGGGCTGAGCACCATGTTGCACTATCCGAGTCTTCCTCAACTTTGCTCTCTGAGGGTAGTGCTGTTTGCTCACATAGGATGTGGGCTGTGCAGGAAAAATCAAACTGACTTCTCCCTAGACTAGACTGCACAACATGTGTGTGGGGAAAACATCTCTTAAGGCTAGAGGAAGTGACATCCCAAACAAAAGCTGAATCTGCTTATTCAGCTTATTCAGCCTTGGCTACAGTAACAGTCAGGATCCAGGGAGTATGAGACTTATGAACTAAATACTTATTTGAAGGGAAACAAGAAAGGGAGGAATAGTGAAGTAGGCTACGGGAGGAGGAGGACTGTGAGTTCAAAGCCAGTAGCGCTCCAGGACTGTCTGGAAGCCAAAGTAAAGTGATGTTCCAGAGAGTATTCTGACTGCATCTGGTGCCTGCATGTCACAGGCTTGGCTGGTGCTGTAGTGCCTTAGTAGCTGTCTTCAAAACTCAGTGGCGCGTGCTCTTCAGTTTATGCCTTTGATCAAATCCTCTTCACCTCTGCAGTTCACATTTTCTTGGGGCTACAAGGATAAGTGACTTCTCATGTGTCGGTCAGTCTCCTTGATATCCATGCAGTTTTCCCAGTGTTGACAGCCCCACCTACTTCTACCCGGCAAGAGAGAAGCACCTGTATGCCTCTTAGAGGCAGGCAAGTGGAGGAAAATGATCAGGGGCCTAGGCCTAGACACTACTCTCTTTAGTCTCCAAGAACACAGGCTCCCAGCAATGTCCATCCCCAAAGAAACCCATACACCCAAACTAGTGTCTGAGAACATTTTTATTAAGGACAGAATGGGGTCACAGCATCTTAGAAAGTCTATTCTCTGCCATCATGGAAAGAGCAGGACAAGACCCGGGGCACTTCAAGGAACCAGGGGGGATGTGAATTCCTGAGCCAACTTGTGTCAGGGATGGGTGGGTAGCTGGCTGCTCCACAGATCTCCCCTTCTCTAGAGGATCCAGCTCTTGAGTTTCGAGCAGCCAGAGCTGCCTGCCAGCTTGCTCAAAGCCTGCTCCACAGCAGGGCTGGAAAGAGCAAGGCATGCAAGCCCAGAGGGACACCACTGACTCTAAGCCAGGTCTCTGCTTCCAGGATAGGCCATGGTTGTCAGTCCTGGGGCTGAGAGTCCCTGAGAGGGGCTGCTGGCATAGGAGAACCCTCCCATAGTGAGCAGAGAGCAGTAAGGGGCAACAGGCAGCTAGAGCTAAGCAATGAGACAGTTGGACTATCTCTAGATTCAGAAAAGCAACAAGAACAAATGGTGGCTTGTTTGGACAACTTCTGACAGAATTTGGCATTTTATTACAAATTTGAATGTGAATGAAATAAGATCCATTGTCACTTTTCTGCCAATGAAGAGACAGACGTAGAAATGCAGGCCCAGTACTCTGACCATCCTGGGCACATGGACGTCTCCAGAAACCTGCCCCATGCACACCTAGAACTAAAAGTATAGTTCATTTATGCACCACAGGAACCAAACACTTGGAAAACTAAATAGTGTTACACTGCCTGAGAGGACCTGTTTCACTTGTTTATAGGCAAAACCCAGAGTTGTCTTCCAAGTTTGTGAGCCCTAGGTAGCCCTGAAGTTAAAGAACTAAGGTTAAAGCAGAAAGCAAGACTTCTCGAGGCAATCTCCACAGGCTCTAGACCCCTAGTAGAAAGAGTTGGTGAACATAGGCAGTCAGGCCAACAGCTTCCTCAGGGTGTCACTACTGCTTCAAGGACAGTCCCACTTGCCTTGAAAAGACATTAACATTCAAATCTTGACAAAGTTCATTTGATGATAAATTCTAAGGTCAAATTTTATTTCTACAAAAAAAGGCAATGGAAACAATATAAAACACATTGAAAGGATATTACTGAGTGAGCTTCAAGTGAGCTTGACCCTGGAAAGGCTGAATCCAGAGGGAGGGAAAGGCCATCCTGTTCCTGGGCTGCACCTGCAGCTGCTCTGAGGAAGGGGCAGCTGGTTACAAAGCAGAAACCACCAATGCTGATCCCACAAGATGCAAACCACGCGGAGAACGACAATGGTGGCCTACTGTGCTGAGGAGTGGGGGGCTCCTTGGCACATCTCAGCAGAGCTTGGTGGTGGAGAATTGAGATTTCAAAAGAATATTCTGGCTTTTGCTTTGCCTGGGATAACCAGCAGGTCGTCTACCACAGCTGCAAGGAGGGCTGCTGACTGGAGAGAATTCATCACACAAGTGCGTGGCATTCTCTGCTGGCAGACCCTCCTTCCAAGGTCACCACAAACCTGGTATTGCAGGGTTCTCTACAAAGACAGCCTGACCACAGGTTGAGAGTTTGGGGTCTGCCCATTGAGTCTGTTACTGTGGAAACATTTTGCTAAGATTTTATGTAAAAGCAGCTTCCCTTTGCACAGACAATTCTTTTTTGGGGGGGGGGGTGATATTGTTTTATAATCTTTTGTAAGCACATTACTAAGATGGCATTAGGGGATTTGAGCTATCACCCACAGGCAGTGTGGCACAGGAGAAGGGCTGCTGCTTCTGTGGGGAGCTGGGGCCTTAGTCTGTGGAAGTGGGATTGAAAAAGAAGAAGGTGATGGGGAGAGGGAATCACAACTTTTTTTTAAAACCTTCTGGGCTAACAGTAACTTTGAGTCTGGGCAGGAAAAGAAATGGCATTCTTTCGAAGTAGACTAAAGCAGTGATTTTTTAAAACAAAGCAAGCAGAACTAGAACATCTGAATTTTTTAATCCTTCTTTACAGGTTACCTAGACCACTTTTGATTAAGAAAACTGTAGAAAGTTAGTAACTGCCACAAGCGGACGCCAGGTGGTGGCACGTGTCAATTTTCCACAGAGTCCTGCTTTGCGGGGTATCTGAATGCACTGCTCGGGGGCTCTGCTCAAACTTGCTGGAATCACTCATGGCAGATTTTAGTCCACAGGTCGCTTTTCCCCATATTTCTTTGTAAACTCTTCAGCATTCTTACAGAATTTTTTACGGTCCTTAGAGTATTCTTCAGCTAGGTCAGCCCGGAGTGGGTGCTCAGGCTGGGGGTCGTTCACCAGTGCTATGAGGGACTGGATTACTGCCAAAAGAAGGATAAGACATTGGGGTTAAAACAGAAATAGCACAGGTAAGATGTTACTAACCTCAGGAAAGAAGCTTCTGTCTCTACACTGACTCAACCCTGGTTGCTCACTTTCTGATCTATATCCTGACCCTGCTGAGTGTTGGGGGTACAGCCCAGTGCCACTCTATCTGGTGCTCTGGAGTTAGGGCTTTATGAAGGTAAGGCTGGCCCTGTCCCAAGTGAGCTATATCCCATGCCCACAATGTGCTAAGACAAAGCAGCCGTCTGTTTATTCTGACCACCAGAACTCAACCCTTCTGTTATCCGAAGACAGACCTCAATAGCTAACAAACAGCTGACCAATCCCCAGCTTCAGAGAGGCCTTCCAGGCCTGAAACTAGTGGAATGTACATTCTCTTGGTAAATTGTCATATGTTGTTTTGAACTGAAAAACTGGCTCTGGAAGAAGGGTTGTCAGCCCCTCCAATTTCAGAACCAAGCATGATTATGTCAAGTGTTTTCCAAGGCTCCTTATCTAAGGATATACGTAGTACTCAGTAACAGGGAGCAGAGAACAGCACAACAGCCTAAGAGTAAATACACCATGCCCTTAACAACAGCTAGAAGGTGAAGAATTTCCAACACAAGTTACTACTGTTTATGTCATGATATAAAAATGCCTGCGATGGGAAAGAGGTGGAGAGTTGGAAGTTCAGCCATGAAAAACTCAACCATGGAAAGAAAGCTCAATTAGAAACTCTAGCTGATACAACTTCCCATCAGTGTCTGTAGTAAGCAACCAATTTGATGTTTTCTGTATCTGCTATTTGTTCTTTTATATGGAAATCTCACCTGAGTAGACTGCTCTGCCTGGGACTCTCTCTTGCAGACTCCAACTGGCTACCTTTAAAGAAGGACACCCCTGCCAGAAACCAGAGGCCCTGAAGTAGACAATGATTCACTGCAGTGAACACGGGCTAGTAAAGCCAACTGGACAAAGGGTTTATTCCCTGACAGTGTTCCGGATGCTGCCAGGGTAAATGAAAAGGTGTCAGAAAGGCAGGAAAGATGTACAAGTGAAGAGGGTTTTTTTCTTGGGGGTGTGTGTGTGTTTTATTCTTGTGTATGTTTTGTTTTGGTTTGATTTTTAAATTTTTCTTTTGGGGGTGAAGGGAGGATATGGAGGGACTGGGAGGTGAGCAGAATTTGTGTTTATGATGTGAAGTTCCCAAAGAATCAATAAAGAAATAATGTTTTTTAAAAAATGACACACACACACACACACACACCCCTCCATGTAGGTGTCATACTAGCTATCCCCTGATGTTTCTAAACAGGGTCTCAACTATACAGCCCTAGCTGTCCTGAAACTCACTAAGTAGCCAGGTTGACTTAGACTTACAGAGATTCATTCCCCACCTCTGCCTCCCAAGTTCTGGGACTAAGGGTGTGCACCTCCCAACCAGCACTATCTATTCTTTTTCTCTGGCTTGCTGCACACTTAATAAACTCACTCACAGCCGGGCGGTGGTGGCGCACGCCTTTAATCCCAGCACTCGGGAGGCAGAGGCAGGCGGATCTCTGTGAGTTCGCGACCAGCCTGGTCTACAAGAGCTAGTGCCAGGACAGGCTCCAAAGCCACAGAGAAACCCTGTCTCGAAAAACCAAAAAAAAATTAAAAAAAAAAAAAAACTCACTCACTCAAAACACAGCCAGTATACATCATTGTCTGCAGCACAGAACATCTGGCCCTTGTCAGCCCCATTCCCCTGGGCTCTGGAGACAGCAGGCCTGCTCTATATGTATCTGTGCACAGGGGCACCTCTCCAGGCACTTGTGGGTGCTGGGTCCTGACTCTGGTCTGGTATGACACACTTTGCTCAGTTAGGGCACTTTTAATCATGAGAAAGAAAAAAACACATTATGACGCTGCACCTGTCTGTGAGCAATGAGCACATCTTAGAGGAACTATAGGAAGACAGAATTTACACAGAAAAGTGCTGTATCGACTGAGCGATTATAAAGCATACAAATTCCCAAATTCATACTCTTCAACTAGATGTGACGGCATCACAGCTGAAATTAGTTCACTTCAAAGCATAAGACAAGCAGTGGTGACGCACGTCTTTAATCCCAGCACTTGGGAGGCAGAGGCAGGCGGATCTCTGTGAGTTCACGGCCAGCCTGGTCTACAAAGGGAGTTCCAGAACAGCCAGTGCTACACAAAGAAACCCTGTCTTGAAGGAGAAAAAAAAAAGCCTAAAATAAGAAGGTTCTTAGCCTGAGGCCAGCCTGGGCTACATAGTCAGAATCCATAAACTGTAGACAAAATCACATTGCCATGTAGTCTTTTTGTGAGTAATTGTTTCGTGTAACACAATATTTTAAAAGTTTGTATATCTTCTACCATGAATCTATACATTTTTTTTTATGGCTATACAGTATGTCACTATACAGAAATTCCACAGTGGATTTTGCCAGGTTCATCTGGGAAGAGAACTTTAGCTGAGAAAATGTTCCCACCAGATTGACTTGTAGGCAAGTCTATAGAGCATTTTCTTGTTCTAAAAATGATTTAATTAACTTCATTTTATATGCGTTGGTATGAAAGTGTCAGATCCCTTGGAACTTGAGTTACAGACAGTTGTGAGCTGCCAAGTGGGAGCTAGAAATTGAACACACGTCCTCTGGAAGAGCAGCCAGTGCTCTTAACCTCTGAGCCATCTTTCCAGCCTTAAAGCCTTTTTCTGATTAATGGTTGATATAGGAGAACCCACTCACTTGTCAGATGTGCCGCTCCTGGGCAGGTGCTGAATTCTATAAGAAAGCAAACTGAGCAAGCCACAAAGAGCAAGCCAGTAAGCAGTAGGCTTCTATGTACCTCAATTCTTTTTATTTTTTAATTTTTTTGAAACCATTTCTCTGGGTAGCCCTGGCTGTCCTGGAACTCAGAGACCCGCCCGCCTCTGCCTCTAGAGTACTAGGAGCAAAGGTGTGCGCCACCACTCCTGACCCCTGCTTCAGTTCTACCCTCCAGGTCCCTGCTCTGATATATACCCCTTCATAACAGATTAGAAACTGTAAACTCAAACAAACCCTTTCCTCCCCAGGTTGCTTTTGGTCACAAAGTCTTTGTCCCAGCAATAGAAAGCAGACTAGAAGCCGGGCGGTGGTGGCACACGCCTTTAATCCCAGGCGGATCTCTGTGAGTTCGAGACCAGCCTGGTCTACAAGAGCTAGTTCCAGGACAGGCTCCAAAACCAGAGAGAAACCCCATCTCGAAACAAAACAAAACAAAACAAAACAAAACAAAACAAAAAAAAAAAAAGCAAACTAGATACCACAGTGTGTATATCCATTTGCATTGCTTTTCCTCTGTGCCTAGCTGCAATAAACAGTAATACAAGTGTTTCAGGACAGAGGGGTGCTTGCTTGCCAGATAAAAGCTTTTCCTCCAAGCTTGAATCCTGGCATTCCCACGGGTAAGGAGAGAACTGACACCTTTAAGTCGTCTTCTGACCTCCACATGCATGCTGCGACATACACTCATGCACAAAGATGCAATTAATAAAAATGTTTGTATGGATCCATGCTTTCATTTTAGGGGGCATATACAACTCAAAGTTGACCTGCTGGATCACAAGAGCTTTTTTTTTTCATGTTGCTTTTCCACTATGTTTAATTTGTGTCTTCAGGATCTGTATCAGATGCCTTAGAGCTGTGAGGCTGCAGATGGCTGACAGTCACCCAATGTGCCTGCTGAAAACTGAACTCAAGAACTACTGAGTCATCTCTCCAGCTCCCATACTAAGAACATTTTAACTTTCCTGTCAACTCTTAACTTTCTTTTCTTTTTAAAAAAAGAATTATCTATTTTTATTTTATGTGTATGGGTATTCTTCCTGCACATATGTCTGAGCACTGTGAGTATATAGTGTTTATGGATGCCTGAGAGGGCACTGGATCTCTTGCAACTATAGCTAAAGATGGTTGGTGGCCACCATATGTATGCTGGGAATTGAACCAAGGTCCTCTGGAAGCACAAATGCTCTTAACTACTGAGCCATTTCTCCAGCCCCCAATCTTATCATTTTTATTTTCCATACCTAATAAAACACAACTTAGAGGGACAGGAGAACATGATGGCTCAGTGGTTAAGAACACTGGCTACGGCCGGGTGGTGGTGGCGCACGCCTTTAATCCCAGCACTCGGGAGGCAGAGGCAGGCGGATCTCTGTGAGTTCTAGGCCAGCCTGGTCTACAAAAGCTAGTTCTGGGACAGGCACCAAAGCTACAGAGAAACCCTGTCTCGGAAAAAAAAAAACACCAAAAAAAAAAAAAGAAAAGAAAAAAAGAAAAAAAAGAACATTGGCTGCTTCTCCAGATGATCTGGGTTCTACTCCCAGCACCTAGATGGCAGCTCTAGCTTCAGGGGATCTAACACTCCCTTGTGGCCTCTCTAAATACCAGGCATGCACAATGTGCAGACATACACGCAGGCATAAACATAATAACACAACACAACTTTGATGCTCTCTAAATAGAAAAACTCTTTAAGAGAATCTAGAGATCAACAAAAGGCTGTATATGGTGGATGACTGACATGAAACCACAAGCAGATGCTATTAAGGAACAAGTGATGCCTTCACTTCACAACTTTAGGAAATGCAGAACTGCAAGACATTTAAAAACAAGATGATAAAGATGGTGATGGCTGGAACGGAGTCAGGAAGTAGGACAAACAAAAGACAATGAACACAATAGCATCTGCCATGTGGCCACAATAGTGTCACACACACAAGTATGTAGAGAGACGGAGGCTGGAGAGAGAGGACCTGAGTTCCTTAGAACTCACATGGCATTACATAAGTATTTGTAACTCCAGTCCCAGGGGATTTGATGCAATCTTCCAACCTCAACACTGCATGCATATAGTGCACAGATAGACATTCAGGCAAGCAAACACATTTAAAAGAAGACAAAAAAGAAAAAGCATGTAGAGACAGTAAGGAACTCAGTGCCAGTGGCTCCTCCTCTGCCTGTGTACCCACCTCTCCCACCCTCAATATCCTGCCTCAACTCCTTTAAGACTCAGTCTACTTCCCTGTTCAAGACTGTACTTGTTGCCGGGCGGTGGTGGCGCACGCCTTTAATCCCAGCACTCGGGAGGCAGAGGCAGGCGGATCTCTGTGAGTTCGAGACCAGCCTGGTCTACAGAGCTAGTTCCAGGACAGGCTCCAAAGCCACAGAGAAACCCTGTCTCGAAAAACCAAAAAAAAAAAAAAAAAAAAAAAAAAAAGACTGTACTTGTTTGGCCAATAGGATCCAGAAGGGACACAATAATAATAGTACTAGCTCTACATGGACTAGTAAATAGCTTGTTGCTTCTGCTTTCAACTAGAGCTCCACCACTGCTATGAAGAGTTCCAACCCACTTCATGGAGAATAAGCAACACAAAGAAAGCTAAGTACCCAGCCAGCACCAATTGCCACATGTGAAGGATGCCAAGTGGGATAATTTACCTCCAATGAGAGTATCTGGGTATCCCAAGAATAATCACCCCCATTTGAGACAACCAATATACAGAATGAGCAATCAACTGTTACTTTAAGCCCTGTTCCATTTTATCTCAATTAGTTAACTTTAAAAAAAGATAATTATTTCGTGTGCCTTCGTGTTTTGACTGATGTATTTCTGTGTGAAGGTGTTGGATCCCCTGAAACTAAAGCTAGAGACAGCTGTGAGTTGCCATGCAGGTGCTGAGAATTGAACCTCGGCCCTCTGGTAGAGCAGTCAGTGCTCTTATCCACTGAGCCATCTCTCAAGTCCCTACTTTTATGTGATTAGAGTTGTTTCTACATGTATGTTTGTGTAGGAACCTGGTACCCTTGGAGGCCAGAAGAAGACATGCCCCTGGAACTGGAGTTACAAGCGGTTGTGAACTACCATAAGGGTGATGGGAATTGAATCCAGGTCCTCTGGAACAGCTTCCAGTGAATTATCTCTCCAGTTGCAAACCATGGCTGGAGTTTCAATAGGGGTTATGATACAGCCACAGGTAACAGAAAATAGGAAAATATGGCATCGAGTGCTATTACTGATTGAGAGGACAGAATCAAAGTCATGTTACAAAGACTACAAAGAGCAACTGGTTTTCTAGGAAGTCCTAAGCTGTCCCAAATCACAAAAACAATAATTTTGGCACTATACTTGAAACGAAATTCTTTTTTTTATTTATTTATTTGTTATGTATACAATATTCTGTCTGTGTGTATGTCTGCCGGCCAGAAGAGGGCACCAGACCTCATTACAGATGGTTGTGAGCCACCATGTGGTTGCTGGGAATTGAACTCAGGACCTTTGGAAGAGCAGGCAATGCTCTTAACCACTGAGCCATCTCTCCAGCCCTGAAATGAAATTCTTAGTAACGAATAAGAATATTTTATAAAAGAACTACCTGGAGGGGGAGGGAAATGGGAGGCTGGGAGGAGGCAGAAATTTTTTCCCAATAAACAATAAAAATAATAATAATTAAAAAAAAAAAAAAGAACTACCTGGAACTACAGGGCAGTGGGGCGCACGCCTTTAATCCCAACACTCAGGAGGCAGAGGAGGTAGATCTCTGTGAGTTTGAGACCAGCCTGGTCTATAGAGAGAGTTCCAGGTCAGCCATGGCCATATAGAGAAACCCTGTCTTGAAAACCCAAAAAGGAAAACTAGTCTTAACCTATCTGACTCTTTGGAGGCACAGCCCCAACCCGAAATGGCAGCAGGTTATGTATCTAGATGTTAAGATAAAATAGGACAGCCTGAGAGTCTCCTAGCCCTGGCCTTCATGCCATCAGTTCTCAGACAAAGGAGGAGACTGTAAACTGGAGAGAGTCAGAGGGCCTGGAGTAGAGGTGACTGAGTAGGGACTCAACTCAGCCTAGTCTCTGGAAGTTGTATTACTGACACAATGAAGGTCAGATTCCAACACAGAGCTAAGAGTCTGTACAGGAAAATAATCAGACCACTTGAGCTGAAAATTCAGTCAAATTGTCCTAAACAGCAGTGCTTTCATGCACTGCTCAGGTGAATCCTGGTAGAAATTACTCTCTGATTAGACATCTAGCATCTGCTCCTTCGAACTGCAGGAACCTGATAGTCAGGTTTCTCGGTCTTCCAGGGCTTCCACCAGTAAGGAAAATCAACCTGCAATCTCACGAACACCACCTCCATTCACTTGCTGGAATCTAACCTAATGTTACACTGCTTCAATTAATTACTTAGTAGAAAGCCACAAAAAATCCGAAATTAGAACTTCAAAAGCAAGTCTGGAATTAATGAAAACTGGAACCAGGTGTGGCGGTGCACTCATATAATCACTCTGGAGGTTTAAGTAGACGCATCAAGAGTTTGAGGCCAGCCTGCTCTACAGAGCAAGTTCCAGGACAATGTGAAAGCTTATGGCAAGACCTGTTTCATAAAATCTAAGTAAGTATATGACTAATACTAGACAAAATCCAAGCAAAGTCTACTGGAAGTAGCAAGAAAGGGACAAGACGGAGAACAATTGTGACACAGAATAAAATACTTTTCTAAGAAAACGAGCATCTAATTCTAAGAATCACAGACACTGCAGTCAACTATGTGCCTTCCACCCAAGTACCCAAATCTGACTGTCTTGTCCTGAACCCCCAAACCACCTACTGGGAGCTACAGGACTTGGCATAAGTCCTGTTAGTCTGGAATGTCCTCACTAACCTTTCTTCTAAGTGATCTCAAAAGCTAACTGTTGTGTGCATCCACCATCCTCACTTTCCCATCTAGGCAATATCAGAATCCTTTACCACCCCAGGCCAGTGCCATGCACAGTTGACACGTCAGCCGAGAGCAGGCAGCCCCACAGGAGGATGGGGGGTGGAGTGGGGGTGTCTCAGCAGTACTTCTACATGCACTTGAGTTGCTATGGCAGTATTTCTCTCAACTCTGCCTGACAGGGTTTTAGAGAACCTTCAACACCCATCAGCAGAAAAGAGCCCCTTCTAAGGCAGCAAGAAGAAAGGTGCGTGGCTCACCTTGGTCGGTTTTGGTGGCTGGCTTCCAGTTTTCAGCACTAATTACCGGCAGACAGACCTGCCCCTTCTCATCAATGTTAGGGTGGTAGATCTTGGTTTTAAATGTGATCTTGGGTGGTTTGAATGGGTACTCTGCTGGAAAGTTGATTTCAATTCTGAAGGCCCCCTTGTCATATGGAGGGTTGTCCTAAAAGAAAAAAAGAGGGGAAACAGATCAAAATGAAGATATTGTAATCCATATACCTATGGCCAAGTCAGGGCTGCATTAACTATTTTTTTTTTTTTTTTTTTGGTTTTTCGAGACAGGGTTTCTCTGTGGTTTTGGAGCCTGTCCTGGAACTAGCTCTTGTAGACCAGGCTGGTCTCGAACTCACAGAGATCCGCCTGCCTCTGCCTCCCAAGTGCTGGGATTAAAAGCGTGCGCCACCACCGCCCAACTTGCATTAACTTTTCATTAATTATTCCCAATGGTACATCAACTGAAGTCCTGCCATACAAAAGGTAATCCAACAACCAACCAGTATTTCTAGGTAAGATGCTCGGCAAACTTCGAAAAGGTCCGAAGTCAATGTCACAATAGCCTTATTTTTTCAGTAGTGTGGTGGTTTGAGTGAGAAGGCCCCCATGGACTCAAGTTTGAATGTTTGGTCTGAATAGTTGGTATAACTGTCGGGAAAAGAATAGGAGGTATGCATGGCCTTGTTGGGTTAGGGATGGGCTTTGAGCTTTCAAAAGTCCATGCCATCCCCAGTTATCTCTCCTGCCTTATGCTTGTGAATCAGATGTAAAGTCTCAGTTACTGCTCCAATGCCTACCCCCTGCCTACCCTGCCTGCCTGCAGCCTTGGTCCCATGATGGTCATGACTCACTCACTAGAACTGTAAGCCCCAATAAACTTATTTTCCTATAAGTTGCCTTGGCCATAGAGACTCTTTCCAGCAGTAGAAACAAATAAAAAAAGTAGACTTTTTTTTTTTCTTTTTTAGAGCAGCTTAAACAATAAAGCTGAAAGTAGTGGGGGAAAAAACCCAGAGACCTAATTTCCTCTCAATATGCAACTCTTCCCTCACTATTAAGATTCTTCATTAACAGAGTAAAATGTTACCATCCATGGACCTACCTACACTGCACTTCTGTATCACTTGGAGGCTATAGCTCCTATTAGGTTTACCACTGAAAGTTATTTATTTTATGGGTTTTGCATAGTTATATCTTAGAACTTGAGCCATACGTGTATGTCCTCCCCAAATTCACCCATTAAAAACAAATCATAAGCGAGCTGATGAGATGGTTCAGTGAGTAAAGATACTTGCAGCACAAACCTGACAATTTCAGTTAGAACCTCAGAACCATATGGTGGAAAGAGAAAACTGACTTCACAAAATCCCATGTGCTATAGCAACTATGTCCCCTACTCTCTAACTCACTTGTTCTCTTCCACACGCACACTAATAATAAAATCATCAGGACTATGATCAGTGGCAGAACATGTCAAGGGCCCCAGTTCAATCTCTAATATCAAAACCTCCCACACTGGTATATATACACCTGCCCATGCATGCCATGTCAGGATGTGGAGTCCCTATGAAAGAGACCCCAGAGAGCTGACATGTCCTTTTTAATGTGTGAGAAAGAATCAAGAAACAGGAACCACCAATCACTGAATCTATCAATGATTTGAACTAATGTTTCTCAGGATCTCTCTAGCATTTGGAGAAATGTTTCTGTTGTTTATAGGCCATTCACTTGACAGTAATTTGTTACAGCAGTCTGAATAAACGTAGACAGTAGCTTTCTGAGTGTTTTTTTCCAGGATAATATGACATCTCTGTGTATGTTTCTGTCCAGATATAAAAGAACAAAGTTGGGCGGTGGAGCACATGCCTTTAATCCCAGAAGGCAAAGACAGCCAGAAAGCTGGTCTACAGAGCTACAGAGTTCCAGACAGCCAGAGCTACACAGATAACCCCTGTCTCAAAAAAACAAAAACAAAATAAAGAGTAAAGATCACCATTGCTGGTTCATGTTATGAGTCTGGTTTTATATGAAAGTGCCTGTGTTTTCCTCATTACAGTGACTAAATCCTGAGATAAACAACTTAAAAAGGTTTATTTGGCTCACACTCCACTGCTGGGGGAACTCCTTCAGCCAATAGCCTTTGAGATGCTGGACCACTTTGGGCATGGCCTTGGGTACTATAAAAAACAGGTGTAGCATGGCGGTGGTGGCGCACGCCTTTAATCCCAGCACTCAGGAGGCAGAGGCAGGCGGATCTCTGTGAGTTCGAGACCAGCCTGGTCTATAAGAGCTAGTTCCAGGACAGGCTCCAAAACCACAGAGAAACCCTGTCTCAAAAAACCAAAAAACAGGTGTAAAACTGAGTGTGCTCTCTCCTTCTTCCTTTCCCTCCACCTCCACTCCCTCCTCCTCATCTCTCTCTCCCTCTCTCTCTCTGCTGCTGGATTCGGTTCCTGTTCCCCTCTTGTGCAGAGAATTGCTAATCTGTAAATCTATCCCATATTAAAAATCCTTTATTATACTCAATTCTGAGCTAGTGTGGGACTACTTTATCACTTTATCACGTTTATCTACACTTCACATTAAGGGAGATAAGGAAACAGAGAGAGCAGAGGTAGGACCAGACTAAAACCTGCAAGGCCCACTACTAGTGATTTCCTGCCACCAGCCAAGCCCTAAAAGTTTCAGTCCCCCAACAGAGCCACCAGTTTGAACACGAAATTGTGGAGGGCAAAGTTTTAAAGGTTTTTCTTTTTCTTTTTTTTTTAAAATATTTATTTATTTTTATTTATTTATTATGTATACAATATTCTGTCTGTGTGTATGCCTGATGGCCAGAAGAGGGCACCAGACCCCATTACAGATGGTTGTGAGCCACCATGTGGTTGCTGGGAATTGAACTCAGGACCTTTGGAAGAGCAGGCAATGCTCTTAACCACTGAGCCATCTCTCCACCCCCTTAAAGGTTTTTCTTGTGTGTGCATATATGCACACATATGTGTGGGTAGCTAGAGAAGCCAAAGAGGACATCAGATCCTTGAGCCAGAGTTATATAGGTTGTTGTGAGCTCCTGGATGTGGGCACTAAGCCATCTTTCCAGGCCCTGTAGAGAGTACTTCAAATTCAAACCGCAACACTGCCCAACCTAAATTCCATTTGCATTCCTCCACAATGAATGAGCATTGCTGTTGCTTCAGTGCTATCTGCATTTAAAGTTGTCAAGATTTTTTATTGTCACACTAAGAGATGTGGAGTGGCACTTTATTGTTTTTTTTTTTTTTATGACAAACATTAAGTTTGCCATCTGTCTATTTCTCTCTTTAAATTTCTTAAAAAAAAACACAAAAACAAAAACCACCATTGTGGGAGTGTATGTGTGGGCACACATGCATGTACAAGTGGAAGTCTTCCTCCACCTGTGGGTTCCAGGGAATTGAATTCAGGTCAAAGCGCTTGGCAATGAGCACTCTCACAGAATGAACCATCTCACCTGCCAGTCCTCTTTCTTTGCCCGTCCCCTCTATGTAGCTGAAGTTAGCTTTGAACTTGCAGTCTTCTTGACTCTTTCCCCTGAGCCCTGAGATTCCAGGTATATGCCACCGCATCTAAGCTTAGTTGCTGCCACCTCCATTTTTACCGTGCCCTACTTCTAAAAGTATAGAAGGGTCTCACCCAGACCCCAGGATATCCCTAAAATATTGGGCTCAAGAGCTCCTCTAGTCCCAGCCTTCCAAGAGCCTAGAACTACAAATATACATCACTATGCTTTGCCTGTACACCTTCATTTGTGAGTTAAGATTTTGTTGTTATTCCTATTTTACATTAGCCCCCCCTCCCCACGTCCATCCTGAAGGTAGTAACTTCCCTGAGACAGGTTTTCTCTGTGTACTCTTGGCTGTACTGGAACTCTCTAGAAACCAGGCTAGCCTCGAACTCACAGAGATCTGCCTGCCTCTGGCTCTTGAGAACTAGTATTAAAGCCACCACAGCCCAGGCTATGTGTATATGTGCATGTGTGTGCGCGCACATGCACGTGCACCACTATATGAATACACACGGAGATCAGCGGAGCACTTATCCAAGTCAATTTTCTCCTTCTACCATGTGATAGCCCTTTGGCTTTTCCTCCACCCTACTCACCTCCCAAACTGAAGATCCCCTCCGCACTGTACTGTACTATTTTTCTTATATTTGGGCTCTCTGGTTTGTGAGGTGTCCAGGAGCACCATGGCAGTCCCATCCTTCATCCCATCATCTCCTTACACCAGGGACTGAACTCAGGTATCAGGCTTGACAGTAAATGCTTCTAACCCTTCCCCCACAAAACTACCTTCAGGGTCACCAGTCAAACTTCTCTTACTTCTGGGCCTATTATTTGCAGACTGGAAGAGAAACCATAAAAGGATCCAGAATATTCACAAGTGGTGCCACAGTTTTGTGTGTTCACCTTATTTTTCAGAGACTGGCAAGAGCTCTTGTGTTGACATGGCTATTCCTGTATAGAGGAGAAACATTCTCATACACCTGCTTTCCCCTCCTCCAGGCCAAGATTTGGTGCAAAGTCTTTATCTCCAACAGCATCACTCTGTTTCCCTGGTTTCCATGTGTCCTCCTCTTCTTCTTCTTCTTCTTTTTTTTTTTTTTGGTTTTTCGAGACAGGGTTTCTCTGTGGTTTTGGAGCCTGTCCTGGGACTAGCTCTTGTAGACCAGGCTGGTCTCGAACTCACAGAGAACTGCCTCTGCCTCCCAAGTGCTGGGATTAAAGGCATGTGCCACCACCACCCGGCTGTTCTCCTCTTCTTAATGGTCCTTTTTTCTCAATGCAGAATTCCAAGAGTCTTTTGTTTTTGAAGATATAAAGAGCCACCAGAGCTAAATAACCCAGAGCAGAACACACTATATTAGCAGGTCAGAGAAGAGTCTACACTCTGAGTTCTAGAAAGCTTGGTCTTCCGAGATGAGACCAGCACTCTGCTCATGAGCTTATTATTGTTTGATTGACATGAGTCAGTACCATACCCCAGGATCCCCAAGAATGAACCCTTTGGGGCCTCTACCCTACTCACCTCCAGAACTGAAGAATCCCTCTACACAGCACTATGGTAGCTCCCATACTCCATCCTACCTACTCACACCCCGAGCCTAAGCAAAAATTCTATAGCAAGAAAT